TTTTGGCAGCAGCTGTCACCAGTTTTACACTCACTCTCTCTCTCTCTCTCTCTCTCTCTCTCTCTCTCTCCCTCCCTCCCTCCCCCCTCTCTCACACACACACGCACATACGCACTTCTCTTTCTCAGTTTTTTAAAATTACTCCTCTTGTCCCCTGCACTTGGACTTCCCCTGTGTGTATATGACAGGTTGGTTCCGCCTCCCCATGGTAGCCATTTTGTGGTTGTGCTCACCAATCTGCGTTAGAATTCCAAAGTGCCCACAAAAAGATTGCGGACCCCTGGCTTAGTGTGTTAAAGCTATTAAATATTTCAAAAAGTGGGAGACCACTTCCCAGTGCCATGTCTAAATTGGCCCTTCAATTTCTAAACTCTCTCCAGTACACTCTGCCAGGAGAAATGCTTTTCAAGGCAGCTAATATTATTGATGTTTCCAGGTTTCTGAATGGTGACAAATTAGAACTGGGTCCTTTTTTGCCACCACGCCCACCATTAGCATTAAATATGTAACAGTTCTTTAAGAGCTTAATGTGAGCCAAAACCTCAGACCTCAATTCTTTTTTGGATAGCATGGTTCAGCCCTAGAAGCTGTGAAATCATAATACAATTATAATAACTGTTTGCAGAGTGCTTTCCATCATCATTAAGTAATCCTAGCCAGTCCCTTCCTATAATGATACAGTGCTAGGCTTCCAAACAGAAGGTATAGCTCTCCATGGGCTTGAACTTTTGACAGCCATTCTTACCATGTTATTCCAGAGTGCCGTGGCCATGCTGGCATAGCCTCTTGCAGAGAAATGGAAGCAGTCCACAGCGAAGAAACTCAGATCTGGTTTCCCATCCTGTGATTTAACACAAAAGCCTCAATCATACAAGGTCTAGGAGATCCTTCATTAGCAAGGTTCTGGCATTTCTCATCTATATTTTCAGCTCATTGTCTCCTGGAGCTTAACCAATAACCAGTCAACTTCTGTCACATGATTATTCAGCATAAAACCAACTCCTATAGCAACCACTATTTAGGCATAGCCCCTTGTTCTGTTATAATGTCAGTTTTAGACCAGTAAGGGCGACGAGTTGTAGTGGAGTTAGACTGAGAGGCCAGCCACAGCTTTTTCCAGCTGGCATATATGACAAATGGTTACCTTTATTCTTCATATCAGCAGAGAGATGACCCTGTGGCCAGTGGCCCTATACCTCCAGGGGTGTACCATGGTGTAGCAACATTGTCAAAGATGAGTCAACACTGAAGAGATGCCAGACTTGCCCTTTTTATTGATTAGCTGAGTTCAAGTCAGCAGTTTCCAAGGTTAACATTTGCTCTGCAGCCTGGCTGGTTTGTCCCTGATTACCTCCACCTGCTTTCACCCAGGTTCTTAGGGCTACTTCCCCTCCTTTACCTGTTCTTGGTAGCTGTGGCCACTTCATCTTCTGATAGGGTCAATGCTGGCAGTAGCTAAGCTATCCTCTTAGCCAGAAACACCACTTTCCCAGTCCAGGGGAATCCCACTGTAGAGAGCTCAAGCCAGTCTGGCTGCTCTACAAGTCCTACCTCCTTCAGCTGAGCCCTTTTCACCCTCCTTCTCCTGGACTTGTCCAGTTAAGAACATAAGAACATAAGAGAAGCCAGTGTTGGATCAGGACAATGCACCATCTAGTCCAACACCCTGTCACACAGTGGAAAAAAATACGA